GCCCCCGTCCCGCTCCCCACAGCCCAGCCCCCCTGCTGCCCCCGTCCCGATCCCCACAGTCCAGCGCCCCCTGCTGCCCCCACCCTGCTCCCCACAGCCCAGCGCCCCCTGCTGCCCCCGTCCCGCTCCCCACAGCCCAGCGCCCCCTGCTGCCCCTGCCCCTGTACCCACAGTCCGGCGCCCCTGCTCAGCCCCCGCCCTGGCCCCCCACAGCCCAGCGCCCCCTACCGGTGCCAGTCCGGGACATTCGTACACAGTAAAGTCGCCGTTCTCAGTCTCCGACTCCGTCGACAGCTGCTGGACGGGCTTTGGGGGGCTCCTGGGGGGGATGGACCCAGACATGGGGTGAGGAACCTCATGAGCCAGGCCGGGGGCTGCGGCCGGGGGCTGCGGCCGGGGTCTAGCCCAGGGGATCCGGGGGCTGAGGCGGCTCCGCAGCGGGGGGAGGAGATCCAAGGGACCCAGGTAACCGGGGGGGGGGGCGGCACCTAGACCCGAGCACCAATGTCCCATGGGCCCGGCTAGACGACGGGCGATCTCCAGTCCCCCCAGGGAGGTGTGGAAAACCGGGGGGGTAGGGGGAAGGGAGTAACTGTCCCCAAGACACCCCCAAAGTGAGGGGAGGGTAGAGGGGGCAGCTCATGGGGCAAGGGGCTGAAGGACTGGGGGGGGAATTTTGGGGTGCAAAGTTTCCGGGTTGGATTGTGGGGGGAAGGTCAGAGGGGGCAGAGGTCACGGGTGACTTGGGTAGGTTTGGGTTTCAGGGGAGGGGTGGATTGGGGGGAAGTGGGGGACGGGAAGGGGAAGATTCAAGGGTGAGTCTGGAGTTTGTGGGGGTCATTTTGAGGTCATGATTTGGGGGGTGCATTTGGGGTGGGGGCAGATTTGGGGGGATAGGAGACTTGGGGGTGGGGCGAGGGGGCATAGGGTGGGGGAAAGGAAGGAGTGGATTCTGGGGGGCAGATTCGAGGGGCCCTTCCCTAAGCCCCTACCCCTCCCCACCCATAGCCAATAGGGTGAACGGGGTGGGGGAATGGAGGGGAACTCACTCCTCATTGGTCAGGATCTTTTTCTGGCGCTGGTACTGGTGCACCTGGCAGGACTGGGCCAGCCGGGCGTCCATGTACTAGGGGGACAGACAGACAGATGGGGAGATGGTCACTGGTCAGGTGAAACTGCCGTCCCGGATGCCTGGGTCCCATTCCCCGTCCTGGTCTCCAGGCCCCTAGGGGTGAGCACCCTGCACTGCTGTCCCGGACGCCTGGGTCCCATTCCCTGTCCTGGTCTCCAGCCCCCTAGGGGTGAGCACCCTGCACTGCCGTCCCGGACGCCTGGGTCCCATTCCCTGTCCTGATCTCCGACCTCCTAAGGATGAGCATGGGGGTGGGGGTCTCACCATTCCGGGCTGGTGGTATCGATAATGATTCCCCCGATACGCCGTATATGCCAACTTCTGGGCCAGATGCACCTCCCGCTGCAACCTGGGGGCACGGAGTGGGGGGGGGGTCAGAGCAGCGGGTGGGGCAGTCCAGGGCTGGGCTAGCAGGGGCTGCGGGTCAGGAGTGAGGGGCACCGGCAGAGCTGGGGGGGGGGGGGGG